GATAACTCATTCCGATACTTTTTTATCGATAAAAAACCTTATCGAAGATCACTTATAAAATTATATCTCCTACATCTTTCAAGCTAGTCTCCAAATTTAAAATTGATATTAAGATGCATTTTAGACAATTTCGGTTTTTGTATGTATGTGTATGTGTTTGCGTGTATTTGTTTGTATGCGTGTGTGTGTGTGTGTGTGTGTGTGTGTGTGTGTGTGTGCGTGTGTGTGTGTTTGCTAATTATTATTGAAATATCAGTTGCTTGTAGGGTAGGAGATCTCGCAGTCGAGCAGTACCGACTAGAGCTTTCTTACTTGTTAGTTTAATAATTTCTTTCGTAGACGGGAAATCTTAATGGAAATTTCAGAACGTAACCATTATGTTTAAATGTGTGTATATTCCGAAGGACAAGTCTCTGGTACTTGAAATACGTTTTTAACGAATTGGGGGAAAAAGGGACGTGGTATTCAAAATCTGTAGATTACAAAATGTTTGAATTCAATATATTAATAAACAGTAAATCTGAAGTCTCCAGGTCTAAAAGTGCTCAATTATGCTAAGAAGACAATACCAATTTTTTTATTATTCTCGATAAAAATTTATCGGATGAGTTATATAAAAAATTTGATAAACAGCTCAGTCCAGATCAAACAATATATGGGCAATTCTCTAGTGGCGAATGTGACATCGTACATATTTGAGTTAATAAAAACGAATGCCACAACATTTTTTTATTTTGACGAATAGTGAATATTATAGCTCTTGATTAGCTCTAGAATTGGTGCTAAATCTGATGTTAGGCAAATGTTAGTTTTCAAGATAATCACAAAAAACCAAGAGGTTCGCGGGCTACAAAAAACGTAAATAGCTTTTTAAATGAACAGCCTGAGATTTTAGCGAAACCTTAAGTGACAAATTATTACGAATAATTTTAAATTATTAGAAATTGTCACATTTTTACAATGTTATTTATTTGATTCAAATTTTTTTAGTTTTAATCAGAATCGAAAATTACGTGTCGAATGAATGCTCAAAACAGAATTTTGGCACTTGTTGGGCTTTGTATGTCAATATTTCGATATGTATTACGAATAAATGTAAAATTAGTTTATATTAGTTAAATTTAATCGATTAGTTATAAATGCACACATATCAAAACGTAAACTCATTCGCAATTAGCTATACTTGCAAATGACCATCAATAGAAAGTAAGTTCATATTTGGATCAGGTCTCCAAAAATAACAGAAATCGTTCTATAAACTTCAGCTAAGTATATATGAAAAATTTGAGAACTCTAGCTCCAAAACTTAACGAGATATTCATGAGATAAGGCTTTCATTCGATAGCAAGAATACCCTTGTTATTAATTTTTGGAAATAGAATCTAATTGCCCAAGCAATGTACGGACCTTCAAAAAATTACAGCTTCTAGAAGATATAATCTTATGAAATCAGAGTGTTCATACATACGGAGACACAGGCGGATATGACCTCATTCAACGCTTATTTTATCTGTTACACTGATTCTTCATTTTTAATGAGTTCGGTATATATAAATACATATGTGTTAGGCTGACAAACCTGATTTGCGCGAGAAGCCAAATGAAGAGGCGTTTCGCCGCGTATGGTAGGCATGTCGGGGCTAGCATCGTGTTGCAACAAGTAAATAACAATATTCATACAGCCTAAGAAACGTATATCTTTTAGATGTTGTATTCAGGGATAAAATATGTGTATAATTACCCATAAAACTGGCTACATGTAACGGCGTTAAACCGGACTCAGTGGTGGCACGAATATTGGCGCCATGTTTGATTAGCAATTCCGCCACCTTGATGCGATTTTTCTTGCACGCAATGTGCAAGGGCGTAAATCCATTAAGCGCTCGGGAGTTCGGATTCGCTCCATAATCCAGCAATAATTTAGCCACTCGCACATGGCCGCAGTGAGCGGCCACATGGAGAGCTGTCAAATAGTCAACGGTCACTTCGTCAACGGGCGCCTTGTAATCGAGTAGCAAACGGGCTGCTTCTTCATGTTCTCCCTGCGCTGACATATGAAGAGCAGATAATCCATTTTTTGTCTTCGACAATATTGGAGCATTTTGAGAGAGTAAAAGCTGTATGACCTCAACATGTCCGGATCGCGACGCACAATGCAGTGGTGTAAGTCCATCTCGAGTTGTGGCATCAATTTGGGCTCGTTGCGCAAGCAAAAGTTTGCATACAGCTGCCTTTCCCCATTTACAGGCAACATGCAACGGTGTTATGTTATGTTTTGCTGCGTAGTTGACATCGGCGCCGCATTCGAGCAACAAGTTAGCAATGTCCACATTCCCATAATGGGCAGCAATGTGAAGTGGTGTAAAGCCTGACTTGGATACAATATCCGCGGTTTTATCATGCCTTAACAGCAATGTAGCCGCATAAACGTCATTCTTTTTCGCTGCAATATGTAAGGCCGGCAAACGCACTTTGCCACGAACATCGCTTTCGAGGAGTACGGCGACCACTTTATCGTGACCCTGTTGCATTGCCACAGCGAGAGGCGTGAAGCCATCTTCAGTAGCGAGAGATGGATTGGCACCCTTACTTAGTAGTAGACGGCAACAACTGTCATGATTCTCCTGTGCAGCCATATACAAAGGTGTAAAGCCGTTTAGTGACTGCACATTGACATTCGCATTGTATTGGATTAGTTGTTTTATCACTTGCTGCTGGCCAGCCAACGAAGCTATATGTAAGGCAGTGTTTCCTTTTTTCGTCGCACTGTCTACCAAAATTCCGCGTTTAAGGAGCTCGTTGCATATGTCCACAAATCCATCCTTGGCCGCAAGATGCAGGGCATTTAACCCATTCTAAGTCGACGATAATCAAAGAAACGTCATATTAAGATTGCGACTTAAATTTGCTTTCTACAAAATAGGGTTCGTAACTGTTAATCTGTAAACTCTATTTTTGTAAAAATGGATTTAAGATTTAATCTCTGCCTTTTTGTGATTAATTAAAATGATTTAAATAAATATTTATTTATTTAAAATAATATTTAATAAAACATCAGAAAAAACAATTAGAAAAATTTATATTTTTGCCTAAGGGTCTCAAAATATATATTAAAATAATAAATGCATAAATTCTATATAGAATACATTTTGAACCCTGAGGTCTTTAATAATTTAGACATTTTTCTAAAAATGCGAAAACCATCAAAAACGATTTTCACAAAGATCTGTGAAATTCAGTTGATATGCCATTTTTACGAGAAAACTGCTAGTAGAAAAGGAAACTATTTTGATCCGTGATCTTAGGTATTATCAAACACTAAGAATAAGTACGATAAACTATGTTATTTTATATATTTATTTATTTTTTTTTATAAATACAAGAAGTCTTACCGCATTGCACGTGTTTATGTTCGTTATAAGTCCACTATCTATAAATTCCAGTACCTTGCCCAGATCTCCACTACGAGCAGCTCGTAGAAATGATATGGTAACATCATTCTTGATTTATGGAAAATTCAAATATATATGGAACATTTTATTTTTGTCATGAACAATTCCAATATATCGCCATTTCATTTATGCAATTTAGAATGCATGTGATATTTACCGATACCGATATTTAGGAATGTTCATATAATGAAATTAAACTTGATCTAATAGACCATAAAATATGTTAAAATTTTTTACATCACACACACATGTGTGTGTTTAAGAGATTTTAATTCTATGTTAATTTTCGGAAAGGTCGCGACGTATTGTACAATATTGCGATCAATTAAGTATCAGAGGGATGGGGCAGCTGGTAACATTGCTTCCTCAATATGATATGTGCCATTGTGTATATTTACATGTGTGTGCGGGAGTGATCTCATTAGTGAATGGTAGCTCAAATAGCAGAGCAGCCGACTTCAATGGTTAATTAATATTTAAGAAAACAATTACCTGATTCTTATGGTTTACCGTTATATTGTTTTTATCCGATTTCTCGCTTTCCATTGGCTGACTGCTCTGATTTGTTTGTACGTTTTCTTGCTTTTTTTCTGTTTCGTTACTCTGAATATTCGTTTGTATATTGTTTTGCAGCTCGTCTAATGTCATTTTAAAAACAAATTTTGTTCCTGAAAGAATATAACAGACTATTTTGTTTAAGTTATTCACAAAAAGGTATGGATTACAGATATAATTTTTACTACTTTCAGACACATACACATGCACATATGTATATGTATATACAAACAGTATTAAAAATGTGTCGTCTGTTTGGATGCATAATGTAGTTTTATGTTAAGAATACATGTACTCATAACTTACTGATGTATGGTTAATATTATTTTTTTTTCCAGGCAATTAATTCATTTATATATTGCGTATGACGTCATTTTTGCACCTACCTTATTCTTGTGCGAGTGAACCAGTCTCTATAGGACGTACCAAGCTCGATATTTATCAAAGCATTTTTTTTCAACCGATTAATTTTCACATCGATAGTCCGCATAAATACAAAATTTGTACACTTTACATTAAGTTGAATTTCGTATTGAAGTATTTATATGTATTAAAGTAAACAGTTAATAATATTTTTTACCACAGCTTTTTTTATACATGAAAATGAAGATAATAGTTTGTTTAACTTTTCGATTGCCAAATAGTTTACTTTCATATTCCGCATGGCAAATGGTTACTCTTTTTTATTTTTATTTTTTCAATGTATTAGTTACACAGTATAACCTACAATGGACATACTAATATATTTTGCTTATAATTAACGGAATATTTTGATTGAGTCGATAGACTCACTGGCAAGAGAACATAGTTATTGATGTAGTTCATTCAGTACAAATAATCGCTCAATCGAACTTATGCAGAACCACTAAATACATCAGTATTTGTTTGCCGCCGTGAATCACACGTGCTTATATATATTCCAGCTTTTATCAATTTGTGCAAAAATGTCTTTTGGACGTCCTCGTGGAGGTAATGGCAAAGGTAAGACTACTGTACTGACTTTGTATTCAAATATATGTAAATAATCAAATAATCATATGTAAATAATCAATAAACGTGGTATATAGGCTCACGTGGATCTGGCGGTGGACGCGGTAATGTATTCAACAGATCTGGAGGTGGTGGATTCGGTAGAGGCGGATCTCGTGGGGGCCGTGGTACATTTGATCAGGGACCACCCGAACGTGTTATTGCATTGGGAAACTTCAGTTATATATGCCAGAATGATTTAATTTGTAAAGTGGATATAGACGATGTACCATATTTCAATGCACCAATATTTCTGGAAAATAAGGAGCAGATCGGGAAAATTGACGAAATTTTCGGAACAGTTCGAGACTACTCTGTTTCCATAAAGCTGTCTGATAATATATATGCTAATAGCTTTAAGCCAAATCAAACATTGTTCATTGACCCTGGGAAGCTGCTGCCGATTTCAAGATTTCTGCCTAAGCCACCACAGAAAAAAGGTCAAAAAAAACGAGGCGGTTCTAGTGGAGGTGTAAGAGGTGGACGTGTTGGAGCCATGGGTTCGTACACAAAGCACATTAAACATGCGTTTTATAGCTATCTAATGTTATTTATTTAATATAGGAAACCGTGGAGGACGTGGCGGCGGTGGATTTAGAGGTGGCTCAATTCGTGGAGGATTTAATAGGGGACGTGGTGGCGGAGGGGGAGGACGTGGACGTTGGTAACAAAAAATCAAATGCTATTAAAATACAATAAAAGTCGCGGTTTGGTTGATAAATCGTAAATTGTTTTAATATTTCATGAAGTACTGACCACGATACATGCAATATTTGGTGCAATTATTTGTTGGCATTTTTGTATATATGTTTAGGTGTGTATATTTATGTACATTTTGTAGTATTTAGTGCAATTGTTTATTGTGTAATTTAAATAATTTAGAGGCCCTTTAAATTTGTATCATTAATATTTTCAACATTTTTGGTATTGGTATTAAGCTCTAACGCCTCCTTTGTACTTCGAGAATTGCTTTTCTTTCGGTTCGAAGATGGGACTAGTGAGTCTTGTGTCTTGTGGCTTAATAGATTTGTCTCCGACAGTAGATTCGGTTGAATTTTGTTATAAATGCGATCGCTATAGTTGGAAATATAGCGAAATGAATGATAAAGCCCCTCTTGCCAGAGATCAACATCCTTTGGACGTCGCGCGTCAGTGTCTGCATAGATGTGTTGCTAAAGAATTAATTTTTGGCTTATTCACAAATACGTATTTATATATATATAAATATATATATATTTACCGATTTAGTATTGACTTCAGAAAATTCTACGTTATTTCTGATTATGTCTTCCGAGTGATGGTGATAATAATATTGAGGCTTTTGTGTCTGGGAATATCTGCGGGTGGTGCTGCTTACCTCGCCATGGTGCTGACCCATATTACTGTTTGTGGGATTAATGTATTTGTTGCCATTATTACTATCGAAGATATCATCCACAAAGTTAAACGTGTTAAATTCGCTGGGGTAAATGTAAAAAGTTGTCACTAGCGACAAATACAAAAAGAAATGAAACAGCAGGCATGCCCAAATAAGATTTATCTGGCAATATAGAATGGATGATATTTGATTAACTTTTGCACCCTAATAAAATGATATTAATTATATACCTTTTTTCTGCGTCCGTATTTGGTGAAAGACGCAAATGGTACCAGCGCTATTGTTAAAAATGTACCACATGCAAACCCAACCAGAAGTCCAGCAAAATTTAGTTGATACGGCAGTGTACCAATTCCGAAAAGAACTGTTGTCAAAAGCAACATCTTAAATAATGACATGTATGGCTTTTGCACATGCTTCCAGTGCATCCATAAGAGGAGTGCAACCAACGACGATAGTACACCACAAAGAGATGCTGCGGGTCCTACCTGTCAATATATTGAATACGAACCACATTGAAGTTTGTTTAGTATGCGATTTATATACAGTTTTCGTACCGTGAATCCGCAGAATACGGAAATTCAGCATGTAATGTATTTAAAACAAGAGTGCAATAGTCGAGACTGTTCCACTAGGAGATACCCCGTACCCACCACATTGACATTATAATCATTCTGCCTGCATTTCTTTTATGCACACATACATACATACGTGACGAGCAAAACTGTAACACGAATTTAATGTTGCGACTTCAAGGGTGTGTATTTTCGCTTGTACTCTATGGATGTTCAACGTCTTAATTTTATTTTATTAGTATGATTTTAAGCTGTCTTGACTGGAAGAATTATAAGAATAAACAAATAAGACCCTAGCCGAGACTGCTAGAGGGTTCATACGGACAGACACACAGACAGTGCCAAATCGACTCAGTTTATCGTCCTGATCAAGAATATATATACTTCATGGGGTCTGCCATGTTCCTTCTGCCCGTTACATACTTTTTACAAAACCATTATACCCTGAACCCATTGAAAATTGGAAATCAGGGTATAATGGTTTTGTTAAAA